CCCGCACCCTCGGAGTTTGGTAGCCGCCAGATGGCCATCCCCTCCCCCTCGCCGGCCTCACGACTTGTAGGGTCTTACGGTTACAATGTCACTCGACGTTACACTAGGTACCTAAAAAAAATTAGGAGATTCAATCAATCTGAACATTTTAAGAGACCTTTAAATATTAGGTATTTCTACCTCGAAGAGTAGGAAGTGCAGTCAATCACGTCCTTGTAAGGGACTTTGCGATAACGGTCGAATTTAGTAATTTCATGTCGATCTGTATTGAGTTCTGTGGAATTTTATCACCCCTAATAAGTGATACATTTACATTCTGATGTAAATATTAATTCCCTCTTAAAAATAATTGAATACGTTAGGTTGTAAATGTACTTGTAAATTTTCACATAATAATTAAATGTTGTTCCATTGTTAAAAATTCTACACTTAACGACTAGCAAAACTGTCAGGACATAAGAGTATTTTATAAATCATTTATTTGTCCTGTCTTAGGTCCATTTGATTATTGGAATTATTTGTCACGAATTTATTATTGACTGTCATTAACTTGTACATATTTGGTCAACAATGTCTATTGCATCTTATTGACCATACCTGCCGTGATTGGGGTGGCATTTTGTGTTGAGTTATGCACTGGACACAGAAGCAAGCACAGTTGCAGTGCACCGTTCCAGTATGCATTCAATCTCCTCATTAATGTACACACAGGTGATATTATGACAAAGTAAAAAAACTAGGAGTAACATTATCTTACAGCTTTTGAATTAAATAGGTTAGGGAAAGAATTAGGATTTTTTTCAGACATTTCAGCTTTCTTATTTAGGCGAAGCTACATTGATGTAGCATTCTACTTTCCACACTAATATAACTTCGGTTTTATTGTTCACTTTATTTTGTCTTCACATTTTTTTGTCGTCAGTTCCTTTCAGAGTTATTTGGCATAGTCTCCACATCGATTAAAGAATTGCCGTTTACTAATACTTATTTGTCTGAGCTTTCCTCGTGTCTTCGTGGGCTGTACTTGGAATGGGCTCACAAGCAGAGGCGTTTTCTTTGGGTTTGTAAGTCGTGTGACAGCGCCCAAATATTTTTTTTTGGTTTATTTAAATTTTTTCCT